GATAGTTATTTATTACATGTGAAGAAACTAAGGATCAGAAAATATATGTAGGGCAGCCCCAGTGGCTTAGAGGTTTAGTGCCGCCTTCAGCCCAGGGCATGATCCTGGAGACCCGGGATCCAATCCCACGTCAGGCTCCCCACACGGAGCCTGCTTCTCCCTCTGCCTGTATCTCTGCACCCCCACCCCCTGTGTCTCTAATAAATAAATAAAATCTTAAAAAAAAAAAAGAAAACATATGTAGTTTGCTAAGGTCACATGACTAGTGATGACTAGTGGAACTGAATTTATCTGACAATAAGCCTGTTCCCTATAAGACAACTTCCTTAGGGATAAAGAGAATGATGGAAAGGAGGATTTCTTTTTCCTTCTTCCTTAAACTGTACATTTTTGTTGGGGCTGAGAATTTTCAACCACTTACAGTTTTCTTTTTAGTTGAAGTAGCTTTGTGATACATATTTCATAATGGCAATCAAGGTCAGATATTATATGAACTGAAAAAGATGTATTATTACACTGTAGTAAATGCTTTCTTTTTGTAGATTTGGCTTTGTCATGAAAAATTGTTATACTAATTCCAAAGCATTCTTTATCTTTTAATAATAAGATGTTCAGCCCAGATTAACAAAGAGACAATGTTTGGATGTCTTTTCCAATCAAGTTTTTTTTTTTTTTTTTAGATCTAAATTTGATTTATCAAAAGAACAAAGCAGGCAAAAGATTGGGTATTAGACTAAACTGTAGAAAATGCTGTCCACTTGTAAGTTTGGGTTTGTAAAATATATGTGGAGTCTGTGTGTATATAGTCAGCTTCTGTTTTTCCCTGACACTCCTCTCCCCTACATTGAGTTTATGCTCAAACATGACTGACTCTAAAGCTGGCTCAAATTTCTAATATGCAACATTGCCTTTATTTCTACTAATTAAATCATTTATTCCTAGATGAGTTGGTAGAAATACATGGAAGATCTGTATTGTCTGAATGGTCCTACGTCACATTTTGGATATTCTAGAGAAAGAGAGCATGCTTTTAAATTTGCCCAGTTTAATGGCAGTTTCCTACACCTTGGTACAGACTCATCAGCCATTCAAAGCTTCCCTTCCTTCTGAAGAAATAGTAGGATTCTTCCGTACTGGCTTGTTCCTGTGAATATTATTGTTACACGAATTCCTTACTTTCTGGATGAAAAGTCTCATCTAAAGCTCCAAATGGAAATTTTGTTTGCTACTGATTTACTACAGTGTCAAATTTCATTGACAAAGATTTCCTTAAAGATCTTAGAAGTTTTTTCTTCTTTTCCTTCCTTTTATTTCTTCAGTTGTATCTAAGAATGTACCCTTTGTCCTCTTTTTTTTTTTTTTAAAAGATGTAGTTATTTATTCATGAGAGACACTGAGAGACAGGCAGAGACATAGGCAGAGGGAGAAGCAGGCTCCCTGTAGGGAGCCTGAGGCTCAAACGGCTGAGCTACCCAGGCGTCCCCCCTTTGTCCTCTTTAATAAGCTGAAGCATTGTTTTCTTTTAAGATTTTATTTATTTATTCATGAGAGAGAGAGTGGCAGAGACACAGAGGGAGAAGCAGACTCCATGCAGGGAGCCCAATTCGGGACTCGATCCCCGGTCTCCAGGATCACACCCTGGGCTGAAGGCAGGCGCTTAACTGCTGAGCCACTCAGGTGTCCCTGGAGCATTGTTTTCTAATAGAAATGCTAGGTTGATTTTATAGGATTATTATTCCACATAGAATATCTATCGTACAACTTTTTTAAAAAATTTTTTATTTATTTATGATAGTCACACAGAGAGCGAGAGAGAGAGAGGCAGAGACATAGGCAGAGGGAGAAGCAGGCTCCATGCACCGGGAGCCCGACGTGGGATTCGATCCCCGGTCTCCAGGATCCCGCCCTGGGCCAAAGGCAGGCGCCAAACCGCTGCGCCACCCAGGGATCCCTATCGTACAACTTTTTTACACATCACTCCCAACAGTTCCATTATTGCCCATGTTTATTAAGTCTACATAAGTATTGGCAGATAGGTTTTAAATTGTTGTGCCAAGTCTAAATGATAAGAGTGGCTGCTACCAGAAAGTAAACTCTATGAAGGTAGGGAGGGATCTTTGTTTTGGTTACAGAAGTTATCCCAAGCATCCAGAACAATAGCACAGAGTAAGCGGCACTAATTAAATGCTTTAAATTGTATGACAGTATAACAGTCTGCTGGCAGTGTTTGCTTATCACGGGCACGGGAGAAAGAAATGTCAACAAATAGCTAGTTCCTCATTAGAATCTCATGCAGTAACCACAGTTGCTTTTTACTCAGGGCTCCATGGAGTGGCAGGCCTAGAGCTAAACTAGTGGCATCAGTGCTCAGGTTGAATTCAAATAAACATTGTACTTAAATCTGATGGAGAAACTGAAGTTTGATTTGGCAGTGACTTGTGTTAAAAAGCAGTAAAAAAAAAAAAAGTATATACAACAAGGGGATTTCTTTTCTTTATATTTTATTCTTATATCTCGAGCAGCTGTACTTTCCTTTTTTTTTTTTAGATTTTATTTATTTATTCATGAGACACACACACACACACAGAGAGAGAGAGAGAGAGAGAGAGGCAGAAACAGGCTTCATGCAGGGAGCCTGATGTGGGACTCATCCTTAGTCCCCAGGATCACGCCCTGGCCTGAAGGCGGCGCTAAACCGCTGAGCCACCCAGGTAGCAGCTGTACTTCTTAAAAACTCTGGCACGCATCAGTTCCTCTTACATTATGTTGAGGTGAATGAGTTACATGCATATATCTGGTTGCAAGTAGAGCTAAGAAAAATAGTCTTTTGGCAGGGCTACCTTCCAGTGACAACCTTAGAAGGGAAAAATGAATTTTTGGTGGAAGAGTAGTAGTTTTTGCCACAGAAGGGGAGAGAAAGTAACCTATCCGTTAAAAAAGTTAGACATCTATATGGAAATATGCTATTTGGTTGTAGAAACGGGTAGAATATTTGAAAGTTGTGGACGAAGATGATACCTTTTTTTGTTTTTAAAGTAAGCGCTGTGGAGAACACCCTCATGACCCCGAGATCAAGAGTTGCATGATTTACTGAGTGAGCCAGCCAGCTAGGTGCCCCTGAGATGGTATCTTCTTATTTAACATGTTAGTATAGAAGCAAACTAATTATGATGGAAAAAGTCAAATATCCCAGCACCTTCTGGAAGTTTGCTTTTTTGCAAGCAGAGCATGTAAAAATACAATTTCATGTTTTAGGTGGTAAAAGAAGATATAAAAGTATTTGCTGTTTTTTTTTTTTTTTTTTTTTTTTTTTTTTTTTTATTTACGATAGTCATACAGAGAGAGAGAGAGGCAGAGACACAGGCAGAGGGAGAAGCAGGCTCCATGCACCAGGAGCCCGACGTGGGATTCGATCCCGGGTCTCCAGGATCGCGCCCTGGGCCAAAGGCAGGCGCCAAACCGCTGCGCCACCCAGGGATCCCGTATTTGCTGTTTTGAACTTAATTATGGCCAGTAGAAAAAAGTTATATGAAAATTATAGAAAGAACTCTTGGAAAAAAAAAAAAAAAACTCTTGGAGTAGGGACCATTTTGTCCTGGGTTTATATTAAAAGTAACAGCAAAAGTAGTTCTGGACTTCAAGAAGATGTATGCCCTGGGCTTTAGGAAATGTATGAAAACCAGTAAGAGTCTGTGATTTCAGATTCTGACACACGGTATACCACCTAAAAGGATGAAAAGTCTAAAAATGTCCCAAACTTTTTATATGAAGAGCTTGAGAAGCACTCTATGTGTGAGCGGGTCAGAAAAGAATTATGGATTGTATCTGCATTTATGTAGTCCTTTTAGTGATTGAGAAATGATAGTAATTAGCAATATCAAAGAATTTGGTAGGAATAGTGGCAGGTTATGATGGAGCTAAAGCCCTACCCCCATCTCATTTCATTACTCCTCACCCCCTTAGCTTTTCCTGCTGGGATTTTTTTTTTTTTTTCTTCTTCTGCTTGGATTGTTTGATTTTTATTTATTTATTTATTTTTTTAATGACCAGAACTTAAGTCAGAAGGAGGAACTCATGATAAAGGTCAAATAGAGGAGAAGGTCAAGAACCTCTTAGGATGTTGTCAGAAGATGAATAGGATTTTTAGAATGATTGATACCTAGAAGAAAAAAAAATGACAATGTAGATGATTCTTAGAGATAAATTCAAAGCTAGAAGGAAGCCACAGATGCACAACTTAGGGAAGGTGACATAATAGATAACAGGAAATGCCTAGCATGTCTTCTTTTTATCTCCTGACTTCTGTAACAAGAGGATGCCCTTTAAATTAGAAAAGCTAGGGACACCTGGGTAACTCAGTGGTTGAGCATCTGCCTTTGGCTCAGGGCGTGATCTTGGAGTCTCAGGATCAAGTCCCACATCGAGCTTCCTGCATGAAGCCTGCTTCTGCCTCTGCCTGTGTTTCTGCCCCTCTCTCTGTGTCTCTCATGAATAAGTAAATAAAATCTTAAAAAAAAAAATTAGAAAAGAGAATAAGAAAGTATATAATGGCTAAGGGGGCATCTAGCTTCTAGGTCCAGAAGAATTCTGTGTGAGTGTCCTGAAAGACATTTCTGATATTCTGAGGCCTCCATAATAGAGACAGGTAGATGTTTCCAAAAAAAAAAAAAAAAAAAAAAAAACACACACACACACAAAAACCACATTAAACAATACCTTAAATGAGGTTTGTTTACTTTCAGGTCTGTTTCTGGGTTTTCATTCTTTCCCAAATATTGTTTATTCTTGTGCCAATACCACATACATGAATGATGAGGACCAGCAGCAAGAAGAGCAGTTAATGTTCATTGAGTATTGCCTGCATGCCAGTTACAGTGATAAATACTGGATATTTTAAGTAATTCACTTCTGACAAAACTCTGTGAGTTAAGTATTTTTCTTTTGAAAATCTGACTTAAGTATTCTGACATTTAGTAATTTTATTTAATGAAAGGATTTAAAAAAATACAGAATCCTGCACAAATTTGTGTTTCATCATTGTCCACAGGCTGTGCTATTCTTTGCATCTTTCCAGTTTTAGTATATATGCTCTCAAAGTGAGCACTGCGTTTCTTTTTTTTAAAGACATTTATTTGTTTGAGAGAAAGAGAGCATGCACACATGTGCAGAGGGAGAGAGAAAAATAAGTTTTTTTTTTTTTAAGATTTTATCTATTTATTCATGAGAGACAGAGAGAGAGAGAGAGGCAGGCAGAGACATAGGCAGAGGGAGAAGCAGGCTCCATGCAGGGAGCCCGATGTGGGACTTCATCCTGGGACTGTGGGATCACGCCCTGAGCCAAAGGCAGATGCTCAACCACTGAGCCATCCAGGCGTCCCAGAGAGAGAAAATCTTGAGCAGACTCCCTGCTGAGCATGGAGCCAGTCATGAGACTCAGTCTCAGGATCCTGATATCACGACCTGAGTCAAAATCAAGTCAGGTGCATACTGACTGAGCCATCCAGGTGCCCTGAGTTAGTGTTCTTAATATCTGTATTTTTACAGATGAAGATATAAAGCTGTGAGAAGTTACTTTTTTTTTTTTTTTTTTTTAAGTAGGCTCCTCATTCAGCATGGAGTCCAACTTGGTGCTTGAACTTACAAGCCTGAGATCAAGAGTTGAGGTGAAGGGCAGCCCCAGTGGCACAGTAGTTTAGCACCACCTGCAGCCTGGGGTGTGATCCTGGAGACCCGGGTCGACTCCCATGTTGGGCTCCCTGCATGGGGCCTGCTTCTCCCTCTGCGTCCCCCCCCCCCCGCCCCCATGTGTCTCTTTGAATAAATAAATGAAATCTTTAAAAAAAAAAAAGAGTTGAGGTGAAGAGTCCATCGCTTAACTAAGCAACCCCAGGCACCCAAGAAGTTGCATTTACTCCTGTACAAGCTAGACATTCCTACCCCCTCCACTTGAAAAACAGTTGCAAATATCATGTCTTATTATTACCCTTAAGTAATACTTTAACCTTTATTTCCTAAATACAGGGATGTTTTCTTAACTGCAATACAAAGATTAAATTTAGAGATTTTAACAAAGCTATTTTATAATTATCCAATATACAGTTGTAGGTTGAATTGTGTTTTCCCAAAAATAGTTTTGTTTTGGGGATCTCTGGGTGGCTCAGCAGTTTAGTGCCTACCTTCGGCCCAGGGTGTGATTCTGAAGTCCCAGGATCGAGTCCCACATCGGGCTTCCTGCCTGGAGCCTGCTTCTCCCTCTGCCTGTGTGTCTCTGCCTCTCTCTCTCTCTTTGTGTCCCTCATGAATAAATAAATAAAATCTTAAAAAAGAAAACAAAACTTTTTTTTTAAGATTTTATTTATTCATGAGGGACACAAAGAAGCAGACATACAGGCAGAGGGAGAAGTAGGCTCCAGGCAGGGAGTCTGATGTGGGACTCGATCTCGGACCTCGGGATCACACCTGCAGATGCTCAACTACTGAGCCACCCAAGCGTCCCTGTTCTTATTCATTTTTTTAAAGAGATTTTATTTGAAAGAGAGAGACCACATGTGAGAGAGGGGAGGGAGAGAGAGAAGCAGACTCCCCACTGAGTGGGGGAGCCCATGGGGCTCAATCCCAGGACCCCAAGATGATGACCTAAGCCGAAATCAACCTTAACCAACTTAAGGTTGATTATCCAACTGAGCCACCCAGGCATCCCTGTGCTTATTCATTTTGATGCTCAAATTTATTGTTTTTGGTCAGCAAGGTCTTCAAGATGGCCCCATGTACTTTTGGTATATTCCCATCATTTTCTGAGTACTACTTTATTTTTTTGGTGTGAGATGTCTCAGGCTCATCTTGTACTTACCTTGCTCTGACTGTTTACTCAAGAAGCATTGATTCCTTTTAGCAGGTATCTGTGGTTTTGAATGGTTTGTTTTTATTTTTTTATTATTTTTTTAAATTTTTATTTTTATTTTAATTTATGATAGTCACAGAGACAGAGAGGCAGAGACACAAGCAGGCTCCATGCATCGGGAGCCCGACGTGGGATTCGATCCCGGGTCTCCAGGATCCCGCCCTGGGCCAAAGGCAGGCGCCAAACCGCTGTGCCACCCAGGGATCCCTGAATGGTTTGTTTTTAAAGTGTATTTTTATAATTGGCTGTTTTTAGTATGTAAAAGCTATATCTATATATATTTTGTAATTGTATATAGAATTTTGTATAGAAATTTTGTAATTGCTGTAAGTATTTTTTAATTGGTTTATATAAATCTCTTGTTTATGGGGCACCTGGATAGCTTAGTTGGTTAAGCATCTGCCTTCAGCTTAGATCATGAACCTGGGATCAAGCTCCACATCCAGCTCCCTGCTCTGCAAGGGGTTTGTTTCTCCCTTTTCTCTGCTTACTACTCCCCCTGCTTGTGCTCTCTCTGTCAAATAAAATCTTAAAAAAAAAAAAAATTATGTTTTTGATGGTACTTCATTTAATTTTTCTAGGTTTTTTTCCATATAAATAATCATTATGCATAAATAATTATTCTGACCCAACTCATTTCTAATATCCATCTTATTTGGTATGTTATCTAATTGCATTGTTTAGTACTTTCAGAACAGGTCAAAGTATTATTATAAATTTAGTAAGACTGTTTCTAGGGTTTGCCATTAAGCCATGATGCCAGAGTTTATTTGAGCTTTAGCTCTAGATATATAATAGAAGGATTCTTATATATATTTTTTAAGGATTTTATTTATTCATAAAGAGAGAGAGAGAGAGAGAGAGAGAAAGAAGAAGCAGGGGGGAGGGGCAGAAGCAGGGAGCTTCAGGGATTGTGACCTGAGTTGAAGGCAGATGCTTAACTGACTGAGCCACCCACTCTAGGATTTTTCTATTTCTGTGTCATGTTACGTTTCATCTTACTAAGTAGGAGTGGATACTGACTTAATTTTTTATTTTATTTTGAAATAGATAACTTTTCTTATTTTTTAATACTATGAATTATGAATAGACATCCTAATACAAAACTGTCCTTATGGGGATCCTTGGGTGGCTCAGCCATTTGGTGCCTGCCTTTGGCCCGGGGCATGATCCTGGAGTCCCGGGATCGAGTCCCACTTCGGGCTCTGTGCCTGGAGCCTGCTTCTCTGCCTGTGTCTCTGCCTCTCTCTCTCTCTCTCTCTCTCTCTCTCTCTCTCTCTCTCTCTGTGCCTCTCATGAATAAATAAATAAAATCTTAAAAAAAAAAAACCTATCCTTAGATTCTGGGAATAAACTACATATTTTTTTAGTAGAGAAGCATACAACAGTGGTTATGAGCACTGTCCAGTATAGTAATGAAGGGGGAAAAAAAAAACAAGCTGAAGGAGAACTCTGTTTCCTCTGTACAGTACCCACAGAATACTCTGGTTAACAGACATACGGGTTTTTTCCCATACCAGCTAATTTAACCAACACCAGCTGGGTGTTCTTTAGTTCAATTCTGACACTTATTTACCTGGAGTTAGCATTAGATCCCACAGATTAAAAGCTCAGTTTTTCAAGACTGCTCCCTTACCCTCAATCTCAAGTGCCAGTTGCAAATAATGGATTCTCAGATTGCCCACAGCTTCTATCCAACAAGGTTAAGAATTGGGAGTTCCAGCAACTCCCTCCTCAGGTTTGATAATTTGCTAGAATGGCTAACAGATCTCTGGAAAACAGTTGATTTACGAGATTAATGGTTTATTACAAAAGAATACAACTCAGGAACCACCAGGTGGAAGAGATGAATAAGGAAGGCAAAGCATGTGGGAAAGGGCATGAATTTCCAGGAAAGCCACCCTTCTAGCACCTTCCCATGTTCACCAACCTGGAAGGTCTTTGAGCCCTTTCAGTTAGGATTTTTATGGACTCTTCTTTTCATAGAAATAGCTGGTTAAATCACTGACTGTTGGTTATTAGCTTAACCTCCAGCTTCTTTTCCCTTCCATGAAATGAGAGTGTACGGTGGGCTGGAAGTCCTAACCACCTAATCATGCATGGTTGGTCCTCTGGTGACCAGCCCCCTACCCTTAGGGGCTTTCCAGAAATCACCATATTAACATAAACTCAGATGTGGTTGAAAGAGACTTATTATGAGGATCAAAAGGTGTTCCTTTTACCACTTAGAAAATCCCAAGGGTTTTTAGGAGTTTTATGTCAGCTCCTTGGCTCTAGCATTCTTCTGGCACCTATTCTGGGTTATGAGTGGTTGGGAAGCAGGTATTTTGATAACCCAGAATATCTGTTGAAACAGTACTACAACCAAGAAAATTGCATTCACTAAAAGACAAATGGCCTCTACTTATCTGTTAGGTTAAATCTTTATATCAAAAGGTTAGAAAAATTGAAGGACCAGTTAGATATGTTTTAAGATGAGAGAGTAGAAAAGCTACATTATTTTATTATTTGCGCTGCGTTTTCAGGGCTGTCCTAGACTCTAAATCTGAAAAACAAAACATTGTTGACCAAAACATCAGTGATCAAATATGGTGGGAGAGGAGAGAATGCTGCTGCTGGTCCTTGGTGGTTATAGAATACAAGGGATTTTCAGTGCAGTTATTTCTCGGGAAGACTAATTAGCTAGTGACTAAGTAGTACTTATATTTGCTAGCTATGCAAGAAAGGATTCCTGAGCATAGGAAGAGAGAGATTTACCTCACTGAGAACGTCTTCACTAGATCTTGCCCTTGTTCCCCCAATTTTTTGGCTCTATCAGTATTTGGCTATCAGCAAAAAGATAAGGAAGCTTTCTCTTGAATGCTTTGGAAGAGATTAAAGAGCATAGGATTAATTTATTCATGTGTCAGAAAATTTAATTTACCCATGAAATACAAACTGTTTTAATGTTTTTTGGAAAAGGTTTGAAGTATTTTCATACTTGTTGATTTCTTTAGGTTCTCTATCTTTGAGCTAATTTTATTAATTTCTATATGTCTAGATAGTCATCCTTTTCATCTAGTTAAAATTTTATTAGGGTGTTATACAAAGTTCCCTTTTGTAGTCTTTTCAAATCCTCAAAGGTTTTAGCACTCTTCTTAGACCTAATACTTTGTTTTTGTTTTGTTTTTTGATAAGATTAAATCTAGCAATGTATTTCACTG